CCCGCGCTGCCCCGGGGCGAGGGTGGAGGGCGGAGGGCGAGAGGAGAAGCTGCCGAGTCCCTCGGGCGATGGGAGACCGCTAAGCGGAGGCGGGTAGCGACGCAGCAGAGGAGGCCGAGAGGAGTGCAGCCCCGCAGGTAAACCCGCTCGCCCCGCGGGGCCGGCCTGAAGTGCTTCGGGGGATGTGGTAGAGAACGAGCCACGGGAAGCTTGACGGGACGCCTGTGTCTCAGAGTCAGGTGCCCCACTGACGGACCTACCGTGTCCAGACCGAGGGGACACGTTATGTGAAACGCCCGGGGGGAGTGTAACAATTTCCCTGGCAGTACAGCGTGTTTCTGCAGCTACCGTGATAAGACAGGGCTCAGACAGAAAGAGAAGTAAAAGCATATCTTAACTTCTGGCTGCATAAACGATTGGGACTGGAAGAGGTAGCATGGGAGCTCCCTGGATGGAAGGAACATAAGGATTGGCAGAACTCAGAAAAAATTGCAAAACTTTTGCTAACATTTATTACAGCTTCCCATGGTAGTCTCCAGATGTAAGTTGTTAAGAGAAAATTTGTCCAGTTTTGGATAAGATAATCTGAAATGACTTCGCTTCTAACCTCAGGCTCTTTCTCAGGTGCCGAATGGCTTTGTTTCCACCAGTGGATTCTGTGCTGTCATATCCTAAGCTTGTTAGCAGTTCCCAGCTGCAACACCAGAAGAACAACTTTCAGCGTGAAATCACACCGGACAAAGTCAAAAGTTTAAAGGATCTCTATGCCCAAAAGAGCCAAAGCCATTTGTGTTCGTATTCTGCAGAAAGCAATCAATACATCTACAGGCACAGAGACTTCTGTTCAGATGGACTGCAGAGCAAGTATCTCACCAGCCAGACCAAGGATCTCACCAGCCAGACCAAGGCTCTGCCCGTTAAATCAGTAGGCGGACAGAAAGAAGGAGTGGACCGTGCTTGTCCCCTGAAACCAGTTTTTCACCACAAGGGCATGAGTGTTCCAGTGGTCAAAACAGCACAGCTCGGAACTTCCCCATACATGGAGGAACCTCCAAATAGTAGGCCTAGCTCACTGAGCAAAGGGACGCCTCCAGCAGGAAGCTCTACACTAGCTGCAGCTCTCTCTCCTCGGACAGCAGAGCCAAAACAGTCAGCCTCTTATCTATATAGGAGAGAATCGGCTTACATACTGAAGTTAGAGGCAGATGGACGGAACATGGAAGAGGAAATTCGAAAGAAGGAAGCCCTCCTCAGAGAGAAGCTGAGGAGAACAGAGGAGTTGCTTAGGAGGATTCAAAGAGAGAAGGAGCTTGTTGGTGCAGAGGAGAGAAAAGACAGAGAAGCAGAGAAGACCCATGAGCAGAAGGCTGCAAGGCATCCTGAGGTGAAAACTGTCAGAGTTGCCATCAGGCCAGATGATGGAGTCTTTGGTGGGGTGCAGTCAGCAGAGGCCACTATCCCGAAGCCTGGCACTACCTTCCACTCCCAAGAGCTGGCTATGGGGAAGCTCAAGAAGGAGCGGCTGGTGGCCGGCAACAGCAAAATTCGAGACCGCGTACCCATGGAGCGTTTAGCCTCTTCTTCAAAGCTGTCCCCAAAACATACTCCTTCTCCCTGTGCCCTCTCTGACCGAGATTCTGGTTGCCACCTATCAGCAGAGGTGCTGCATGTGCAGAATGCCAGTGCTGTGGAGCCGGAGGGGCTTGGACAGTGCAGCTTCTGCGGACGGAAGTTTCTCTGCACTAGGCTTGAGAAGCACATGAGTATCTGCAGAAAGAGCCAAGGCTCCAGGAAAGCGTTTGACTCCAGAAAGGCCAGAGCTAGGGGCACAGCACTGGAACAGTATCAGCAGCGGGAGAGCTCAGAGAGGCCTCAGGTAATGTACAGTTCCCTTACCTCCCTTGATCCACATCTACTGCTCACACTCCTTCCACCCCGACATCTTCATTTTGACCAGGATGTGAGCACCTTCACATCTACACAGGGCTAAGGGATACAATCCAGCTACTGCCTTAGAGATGAACAGATCTGTTTAAAATCTGATGGGTGGGGGGAAGTGCTAACTGACGTGTCTATGTAAAGTGTCAAGGGTTTACTCTTGGAGACAGCTCACTCCTTGCTGTAGTCTGGTGCTCAGGGTGCAGACTGGGTCTGCTGCAGTAAAGCTCTGTGACATTAGAGGCTGCAGGGAACTGACTGAAAATCCAAGTAATAACACAGGCTCTTAAAGACAGTGGAAACCTGCAGCTCTGTTCCTGCAAAACAGCTATAGCAACCCTCTTCAGTTCCTTTGGCTTGCTTGCTTTTCTGGTTATTCCCATGCTCTGTCTAAGCATCGATGCATCCATCAGCATATCCTTAAAATCCACCTTGGTGCTGGTCTTTGTGGGACGCAGCTTCTCAGGGAGGGTTTTACATCAACAGGGAAAGCTCAGGGATGGGTAACCTGGGTTCAGCCCTGAGCATAAGATTGAGAATGGAGACTGACGGTGGTGCCCATTGCTCTGACTGCCTTCTCCTTTTGCAGAATAAACCACCCAGCAGTAACTGGAAAGAGAAGCACACGGTTTTAATCCAGACCCTGTGCCAGACCCGCCAGGTGCAGCAAGTCCTCTCTAAGGGCGGGAAGGTGTCTGACCTGCCCCCATTGCCTCCCATTGAAAACCCGGACTATGTTGCCTGCCCCCACTGCAGACGACGATTTGCTCCCCGAGCAGGTGAGAGACATATTCCCGCATGCAAAAACATCAAGAGCAGGCCCCCGCCCCCCCCACGGAGGAGGCAATGCTGAGGTGGCTCTACTTCTCCCGCTGAGCAGGGAAGGAAGAAAGGCTATTGCTGCAGACCATCAGCTGGACAACAGCAAGAGCAAACCAGCCATCAGAAAGGGGTTGTTGCTTCAGAATCATGTTTCGCCTGTAGGTTCGTTTTGTGTTTGTTTGTGGTTTGTTTGTTTTTTAACAAATAGTGTTGTCTGATGTGAAGAGAACTGCTCTCCTTTACCTTGTCAATGGCTGCAGGCTCACGTGTTTTCCTTCTCCAAAAAATTAGTGTGGTGCTGTTCATAAGAAGAGCTGGGACAAACGGAGCATCTGCCTTTTGTTTGCTCTGTAGGTTCAAATGTTCACCCTTAAACATGCTAAGTGACAGTGGTTCTGCCTAGCATAGCATTTTTGTTGTAGCTACCTACACGAGACTGGAATGCCAGAGGTTACTCCTTTTTTTGGCCACAGAAAGGACTCTGCATTCTTCAGAAGTATTTAGCTTTTAAATGAGGCATTTGGAAAACTCTGAGGGAGGGGAGGAAGCTATGTTAGCAGTTAACTATTTTGCAGCACACAGACTGCTGTTTCTTCTATCCCTGGTATCTGCACTAAATGACAAGATCCAGAGCGCTGCTTGGTTGTTGTTTGTGCTCTGTCCTATTCTAGCACTGTTTGGTTGAATGATGAAGGCTGTGTAGGTAGGGTTGTTCCACACTCATTCTGCAGCAGCCCCAGCATTCATTTGGATCCTTTTCTAGAATGCTGGTGACAAATCCTGAGGCTATGAATTACTAATTGAAGATCTGTAACATCATTATTTAGAAATCCCATGTGACATTGTTTGAATTGGAAAAAGAGAACCAGAAGGAGCATTAGGAAATGCTTCCTCAACACAAGAAGCTCAAGATGGGAAATTCAGGGGGTTGGTAAAGCTAGCAGTAGCAGGCACTTAGTGTTTGAGTGCATGTCAATTGTGTACATAGAACAGCAGAGATAATCTGAATTGGCCAGGCCCTTGAGGCAACAGAACAATCACCCCAACGTGTTACTTGCCACGTACAATAGCTGGGACTCAAAGCTGGGAAAGGGCAGAAGAAGAAATATTTAATTAAAGATGATCAAAAATAGGTCATGAATAAGCTCAGACTGGAAATTAGGTTTCTAACCAGGAGAGGAATGAGGTCATGGAAAAACCTTCCAAACAGATTATCACAGGCAATGAACTTGCATTGTTTCAAGATGGACTCAGAGAACAACATGGACAGGAACATACAGCAGGAGTTAGAAACTGAGAACCACGATACAGAGCATTTGTTCTATCTCTAGGCTTCTTACATAAAATGTGAAGAACAGATCAGTGTCACTTGCAGGAGCTGAGAAGGAATTTCCTTCTCACAGCAACCTTCCCCTGATTCCTAACTTGGCTTTTGATTATTTTTTTTTTTAATTATTATTATTTTCAGATTTCCATCCAAAATGTTTAACAACTGCTATGGTTAAAAAAGACAAACACCCCCCGACGCCCAGACAGTACACTAAGGAACTTCACATCAGAAAACTTGTTAGCTGTTTCACTTATGTTCAGAGTTAAATCAACAATTAGATTTAATATAAAAAACTGGAGTTTTCTGCAGGCCAAGTTTCTAGGGACCTCTGAAACACAAGGCTTGCACCCTTCCTTGAGCCATCTGCTTATTTTCATCTTAGCTGCTGCAATGGTAGGGAATTATGACAAAAATATGTCCCTCTTTCTTCTCAAGGTGTAAAGGAGTTCTTGGTGATTTTGGCCTCATGTTAAAGGTCTTTGTAACACACTGTGAAAGGGCCCTTCAAGAAAAACAGATGTCCTACAGACCCTTTTAGAGAATCATCTGCTTAGAAATGCATAGGAACTGTCAGAAATTAGAAGTCACTTATTTTTCCCGATTCTGACTTTTAATACATTAGACTAGTTCTGTTGCGTGAAAGATGTTTTAAATAGTCACAGAGTAGTTTGTGTTCTCAAAGTAAGAATAACTATATGAGAAAGTTGCAAGAGGAAACAAACATGGAACAAAAAAAATTCCAGCAGCTCCTTCTGCAAGTCTTTCAGTACCATAGCAGCAGCTCATGGAAACCTAGAAAAAAAGATGAAAAAGGTGACTGAACTGTAGTTGGAAGCTGAATATGAAGAAACCCTGCAGCCTGCAATGGGTGGACCAGACTCGTGAAAGAAGCTGGAGAGCTTCTGCCCTATAGGTAAGTGGGCAGAAGTCCCAACGCTTTGGCACGCCCTGAAGCACGAAGGTCCCAGAAGGTTTGGTGCTGCACTGTGCCAGCCAGGTATGAGTGTACAAACCCGGAGAGGAGAGAAAAAAAAAGACTCGAAACTAGGGGAAATGATTTGCTACATGCAAATTGATCAGAGAGGCAAGACCAATGCTCTGACTTCAGAGCTCTGAAGTATAGGATGTCAGGAGGTGGTAAGAGGTAGGAAATGGCTAAACCGGAAGCTTTATGCCAGCCGCCTTGAATTAATAGATGTAACTGAATTAAACAGAGTAGTTAAGAAATATAATACTACTGCCTGTCCTGTAATATTAACTCCATTTCCCTAGTACAATGTTTTATTGACTGCGTTTAGTGGACCCTAAAAGTCAGCAGAGTGCAAATTATGACTGGGGTAGATACAGAAAAGCTTTTGATGCTTGCAAATAACTCCATCTCTTGGGAACTTCTCGTAAGTGACAGGCAAATGGCCATGGCTAGGATTGAAACTGTAGATTAAACAAAAGTTACTGAAATTAAATCACCAGGCTTCATTTGTTATCTTTGTTTCAGAGCTAACCTTTGTTTTGGGGCAGTTCACTCCACCTGGCTGAGCTATTGCTTCAGGTCGAGAGACAGCAGCATCCAGAACATCTCCGATAACTGTTTTAAAACTTGTTAACAGTTTAGCCAAAGCAGCAGGCTCAGCACAGAGATCTACCTCGCTGCTTTGTGATCATGGTTAGAGTTCCCTGGCACTACTCAAGCTGTTATTCACGCTAGCTCAGCTTCCACTTCTACAGGACAATCCCCCTCTCAGAGACATGCATCATTTTCAGTATCCAGATCTCTGGTGATTTTAAGTCTTCGGCCCAGCTCTCCCTCTTGAGACTCTGATAAAAAGTTAGAAGTGACAGGCATTAAGTACAGTGTGCAGGAACTGCTGGCTGATCAGGTGTCAAGCAGGTTCTCCTGTAGGCCTTAATTCTCAGGAGAAGCTGTTCTGAGAGAAACAGGTACTCCTTCCTTTTAAGCCTTTCTTTTCCTATTAGTCATTTCCCATTTGGCACTCAAACTCTTGAAATAAACACACACACAAAAGGCCTCTGACGTCACTAGAAGGAGATGCAACAACAAGAGAAAAAGAGTTGTTTTGTTGTTCGTCTGTCTTTTTTTTTTAATGAAGGGACACAGAGCCTGACAATTTTTTTCCCATAGCAAAGAACCTGCAAGCCCCTTGCCCTCTTTCTATAAGCAAAATAAATAAACAACAGAAGGTCATGAAGCCAGCTGACTATATGCATATTTCCCCTTCCTCTCTTGGGAAAAAGAAAAAAAAAAGAGACTCCAAGCACAGGAGAATGAGTTTAAACATTTATTTAAACAGAAACTCCAAACCACTACACCCTTTAACCTTTCAAAAAAAGACGACAAACTAGTTTTCAGCCAGAGTGTCAGAGCAGGCATAAGTTGTGTTCCACTATAACAACTCAGTAGCAATACTAGCAGGAGACCAACACATATGGAGCTAGCACTGCAAGAAGGGGAGAAGTAAAAAAGGTTTGAAACTGCTCCAAGGCACTTCTGCCCACTTGCCCTTCCACTTTCAGCCCAAGACAAAGGTGCTGGCTTTAAACTGCTTTTTCTTTTTTGGTTGCATAGCTGGCTGGTGTGAAATCTGTGGTCTGTAACAGGCACAACCTGGATAGCGTGAATCCTCTAAGGCACATATGAGATTGTGGAGCACAGGGCGTCCTCTGCCAGGGACCCGAATCCTCCACTAGATCCAAGGGGAATCCAGTCTGTGCACCCAGCTTCCCAACTGCAGAGCATTGAGAAATGAAGATAGCAGTGCACTGCAGGAGAGCGACTCCCATCAGCTTGGTGCTTGCTTATTGGACATGGCTCAGGCTCAACTCTTTGCTCCTCAAAGGCGCTGCCGCAACGTGACCTACTCAATCATTGCTAACCGTGACAACCTCCTCTAACCTGAGAACTGGCTCCAATGCTCAAGGGGAAAGGGGAGCAGAGTCACCATGTCAATCAAGCAATGTGGCCGTGCCCAGGTCCTCCACGCTCACCACCTCCCAAGAGGGCTGTCCTCCTGCCTGCCCTTCGGTAAGGATGGAAGGGCACACTAGTACTAGATCCTTGGCCTGGACGCTGCACTGGAGAGGCTGCACTTGATTCCGCTCCAGGATACTCACAGTAGGCATCAAGGAAGTATTTAAGGAGCATAAGTTACAAGCAGAATGGTTTGGCATCCGCCTCTAGAGACAAATGGGGAACGCTGGCTTCCCCAGAACAGTCTCTGAAAAGAAATCTAGAAGAGTTGATAGAATATCCAATTCCAAGAGACCTAAGGCAATTCTAGTGACAGGCTCTTGATGGGGATGGTTTAAGCCTAATGAAATCACAACCCCACTCTCACAGCAAAGGTGAGAGGGACCTGGGACTTCTTAGATACTTCACGTAAGGCAGGGGAGGCGAGCTGCTCCTGGGGATCCTACCAACCCCAAAAGCTTAGTTCAAAGTCGGTTTGCTAATAAATTTAAGGGGAATAAAACTAACCTCACACTCTAACAGGAAATGAGGAAATCTTGAGCATCACATCATGCCTCTTCCCATCTCAATCTTCTTGGGAAAGCCTCCTGCTTCTAGAAAGAAGGTGAATTCCAGACAGAGACTTGATCATTCATAGTCATTGGGGAAGGCTGCATCCTGTGACCATGGCATTAACGACCTATTCTGGGTAGGAAACTGCATTCCAGCTTCATCA